TATACTTCCTTACAATATTCAACGATTATATCCGATTGGGATCCAAACACCAAGATTTGAATTTGCGCGTCCTTCTGTGGTCAAAAATAATGGACCAAGACGAGAAACAATTTTGTAGAGCCATGGTTTGAGGCAAAACCATGTTTTCTAGAAATAAAACCCTGTTGTGATTGTCGTGGACAACCAGCATATATAAGGAAAAAAATCATTAATCCGCATGTGAGCAAAGGCGAAGAGTGCATTTTCAAATTTGTTTTTTCGATTTTAACAGCCCTTATGGACATTTCATGCCTTAATGAGAATACAAAAAAAGAATAACAAACAGACAGACAGGTAGACATATCAAGAGCGCCAAAGTGTGAACATTTTATTTTTTTAAGGTGAAAGTGTACTAAAAACGGAACTGTCACGTTCAAAACGGGACGTTTGGTCACATCTCACATTCGACTCATATTCGCTTACTTGACTTAAATTCTCAGACGCCTATTGTTAGGTACCTATGTTGTTTCTCACAAAGACAGGCCTAACACCTTCTCTGATTAATTAATAAAAACTTCGTCTACGTCATAATTGTGCTTTTAGATCGTCTTATCATTAAAAATACTATAAAAATCTAAATACGAGCACGGAACACGCCAAGCTGTGATCAGAGATGTAGGCATTATAACCTAAATCGCACAAAATACCGTACCTACTTATAATAAAAAATAAATCAATTATACGGTAAACATCCTGCGTAATTACAAATTTTGTTGGTTTGACAGAATAAGGTATAATCAGTCGTCGGTTCGCCCTTCCGAGTTCCGATATAAAGGAATGTGTATGTGTAACTAACATAAACGCATGCTAGCAGAAAAATTGCGAGTGTAAATGGGGAAGGTCAGTTACATACAATACAACATTTGTTGGGCTCTGTGTAATCGGATACCCCTGTTTATCGCAACAGTTCTTGTCTTTCTTATTGCAGTTGTAAACCACGCGCAAGTTATTCATTCTACAGCGCTTCCTTGTGGACGCGGAATAACACTAATTTAGTTTGGATTTAACGCACCAGAGGCTTAAATCCAAATCACCGTTGCCAGAATTTAACATGGCATGATCCATCTGTAGTATATTTAAATCTGTGCTATAACTAATGACATATTCTAGAAGGTGTCATAAATAAAACAATTATAGGCTAGATTATAGGTGCTCTAGACGTCGAATGGGGATATGAAGCGTTTATAACACTTCGAAATCACAAAATATAAAAAATTTAAGAATACTAATTCTTAATTTTATATCGAAAAACATCCTTTTTTACCAATGTTCATATCTACAAAGCCACATAATTAAATTTACTGCGACACTGAAGATATGTGCTTTCAAAGGTTTTGCCGCCATTTACTGCGTTATAGGTGCAACAATAAGGTGTAATTAAATATACATATTTAACAATTCACATTCAAATACATAGTTATAAATGGGGGGTTAATATATAATTTTAAATTCGAGTCTGACAAACACGACAATTAAGTATATTAAACACTTACAAACGAGGCCGATGTGTAATAAAAGCATTAAAAAGACAACTTTTTGCTAGTAGCTTTATAGTTAATCACGGCCTAACAATGGATCGAGACGCCTGTGACTTTGCTACCCTTGACGTGTATAAATTATGTATTTCACGCTCTTAGAAATGATATACTGAAGCTAGTATATTTAGCAACGTTTAACCATTATTATAAGGGGAAATCTCAATAAAATCGGCAGATGGTTGTGCTTCCAATTGTTAACTGGTCGTCATGGTCGATGCTCAAACACAACATTAAGTGTATCAGAGAGAGTTATCAGTGAGCTTTTCGATGGTTTTCACGTGTTTGACACCATAAATCTACTGGCAACCGTTTCTGTTACAATATTGAAGCGTTTAATATCAAATTAGCACATACGCCATTGATTATAAAGTGAAGACCAATAGAATTCGACGAACTCGATACAACCAATGAAAGTTAGATTTATTTCCAGATTGAGCTTTATTAATTGACAATAAATAATCGAAATACCATGTAAAAGCTATTAGTGGGGACGTATAGTCAGGCTCTGTTGAGCAACGAAGTGATTAAACCTGATTTTGAATGGAATTTAACGCATCTAAGACCAAAAATAGCATTTCCGCTTGTCACCATTACTATTGGAATTATAAATGTTATTATGCCTTTAAGACCATTTTCAGTGAATTTTAGTCTAGTGTTATTTCAATTACGTTCTTTCGTTATGTCACATCACTTTTATAGTTTAAATTTGATCACTATTAATCCCATCTCTTTAAAATATCCTACTTTGAGTGCTTTCCCTGATATATAAGCATTATTTGAATAATTTGTATTTTGGTATCAACTTCCTTCTACAAACGAGACGTGCAGTCATAGGTTCTAAACTAATCAGCATTTACTAAATTATCATGCTGTAAAGAAAACAGAAAATTCCGATTAATTCCAAAGATAGGTATACCTATTCCAGAAAAACCGTTTTTATTTTTTTCCGATGTTATTTGAATACATACAAAAAATAAAATACACTTTCTCGTTGCCACTATTTGAGCTCTACAAGACAGCGAGAGATTTTGAATACGCAAATTTTTCAGCTAAGTATTGTGGTCTATTCCTCCGGTATTATGCGCCCCTCGATGTGGAGAAATTCAAATTTTTCTGTGTGATGCACACATGCAACCTACGCTAGTAGGTCCGATCTGCTAAATTTTGGTAGACATTCTCCACTGATTGCTATACAGATGATATCAGCAAATGCTCAAAACCGATTCTAAGGTAGAAATTGGAACTAAAATGTCAAAAAAGAATTCACCGCCATCAAACCCTTAATCCCCACGTACCCCAACTAAAAAATTAAGCAAACCCCTACTTGTGGTTACATCATTGAACTGAAACTCGTTTTACAAAGGCGGGAAATTAACGTTTTTATTTTTCAACAAATAGTAGGTACTTCCTTGAACATCCTTGAAAATATCATGGGTACTTGGAGCTTTTTAACATTGTATCACTAGTAGGGTATATCCACCTTTAAAATTGTTTCACGCTTAATTTGGTAATTATTGATACATTTGTGGTTCGTGGGCTAATGTATAAAAGAGAACATGTTTTTGAAAATGTCGGTCACGAATTTGAAGATCGCCTATATCATTGTGTGACCAATAAAGGGCAACATTTTGAACACTTATTGAAATAACAAATGATATTTCCGTTTTTGTTTTTGATCTGAACAAATTTAGATAAATAAACAATTTTTAATTTTCTCAAAAACGAATCGACCGATTTAAACAAATTAAACTAAAAAAAAAGGACTTTGAAAGACCTTTCAAACAAGCTATTACTCGATACCACTTGTCATTTAAAACTTTTAAGAGAATGACCCTGGGGGGCAGAGGGTGAAAGGGGGTGAAGTCGTTTTTGGTTACAAAGTTGTCCCCGTTGACAAATCTTTTGACGTATCTCGTCAATTTTTCCTGGTTGTCGATAAGTCCGCGGTTGGAAGTTTGCAAATGAACTTCGGTAGGTCTGAGTTTGGTGAATGGGATTTTGTATGCTTTCATTAAACGTGGTACTAGAGTAAGGGGAGGGGGCTGGCACAAATGATTTACTTAATCCGTTTAACACAAAATTGAATAATAAATGTATGATGGGCGGCATTAACACTATTACAAGAAGCAGAGAAATGCACGAATCGAATGAAGAGAAAAAAAGTGCCAAATTCTTGACAGAACAACTTCCTAGCTTAAACCAAAAATATTTTTTTTTACTTTTTTATTTTCCCATGTAGAACAAGAATAGCATCATTAAATGTAAAATTAAATATAAATCATTTTTTTGTATCCCCGCTAGTTTCAGCAACAACCGACTGTGTCAAGACAAACAGAATACCCTGTGTATAAATTAATTAAGTAGCATACAGTAAAATATGAGATAACGGAACTGGTGGTCGCAGCTCACAAAACAAATGACCGCTACGCCCTCGGCTACAACCACATTCGTCTCACCTACGTGGCCAAACACCAATAAATCATCCTCTGAAACTGATATCTATGCTAGCCAAAAATGCTTGCTTCAAAACTATCGTATATAACTATTATTTTCGTTTGTTCCGAATTCCATTGTTATAACTCCGACAAAAACCAAGTTTACCCCTTAAATTAAAAATTCTAATTAGTTCGCGATAGCCGATAATTTTTTATGATACGTTCCCTTGTAAATATCTCGGACGTTGTTGTGTTACGACTTAACGCGCTTTTTATACTTTTATTTGTGTTTATTACTAATAATTCATTTATTGTCTACAGTCAAGCAACTTTGCTCCTGGTTAATACCGTACTTGAATGAGTAAACACTGGGAAACTTCACTCGTTAATAAAAAATTACTATTAGAAAAAACACTCGTATGACGTCACGGCTCTAGATATTTAAGATATATATTTAAAAAAAGTTTTTGAGCGTTTTACATCCTTTATGTCTGATGTATATTTAACAAAATCAAAGTAACCGTTGTGCCGAAAAAATATTTTTATTTTTTAACCGACATATTTTTTCTCCATTTTTTTAGTAATAAAACCTGGCACAATTTTTGTAGGTTGTACACAGAATAATTAGGTCTTTCGAATAACTTAATAAAAATTTGAGGTTGATATTTGAAACAAATGATTCCATACGTTGCGGCGCTCCAAATTTTAATATTTTTTGAAAAATACGGCCCGTTATTTTTCGTTTCCGTATGCCTAATATACATATCCAAAATTTGAACAAAATCCGTCCAGCCGTTACTCGGAAAATTGCCAACGCACGTACGTACATAGGTACACACAGACGGAAAAAAATTGATTCTTTAAAAGTTGCTTAAAATGATCTATAATGTCGACGCATTTGATGAAATTTTAACATGTGCAAAAAACGGAGAGCGCAACAGCCACCTACCTGGCGCTATAGGAAGCTAAAAAGGCACTTACTTCATCGAGCTTATTACGAGGAATGGTTCGGGGGTTCTTGAAGGAGTCCGCAAGTACGTCAAATGGCCCCACCGTACATCTCCGAGCTTCCATTTGGCGACCATTAAACAATGGAACGCTGGCCATGTAGATCTGATCCATCTATTCTATAGACAAATAGAGAAGGATTTCATTAGTTAATGCTAAAGAAACCTCTTAATACAGACAATAGTCAATTTTAAGATTTTGATGTTTCGTTAGTAATTGAACACAAATTTTGTGTTCTGTTAACAATAAGTACGAGAAGGACAATAGGATACACTGGGGAACACTTACGTTGTTTCCGTACGAACTTTTTTCTTTCTTTTCCATTTTTTACAGAAATCCACTAGTATCCACTTAAACCTAGAAAGGAGAAGATTGTATAGAATAAAGTTGTATTGATATGGGTATGCACTTACCCTTTTCTGTTCAATAAGAAAATGATCAAGTCAACCATTTCAGTAGGTACCTACTATATTAAAAAAAAGTAGCCGCATTTATGGTTAATAGTTGCTGATAGTTAACATTGAATAAAACAATATTTAGCGAAAAAGAATTTATTTACAGGCATAAAATTATGAAGTCCAGTTACCAATTGCTGTCCCAGTTATCCAATCACGTTTCATCTGCCATTGATAGTTAAATTGCTATTTACCCTGCTATGATACTCTTCTTGTCACATTGCGTAACATAAATAAGTACAAGTTGGAGCCTACTGCGTTGAAATAATGAACTTTTTGCACTTTTATCTTGTAATGTTGTCGGTTTTTCCAAATTTCAACTAAAAGAGCTACAACATAAGTTAAAATATGGTTAAATTGGGAGTGCTGGAAACACGCGAGTATTTTTTGAAGGCAAACCTAATTTTTGCCTTTTCACTTTAGGGCGAATTCTTGTTTTTCTTGTATTTTGAACAACGGACAGTTTAGGAATATAATGTCAAGTAGCTGTTAAACCACGTTCATTTTCTGAAAATAAGCGGTTAAATGAGGAAAAGTTACAATTAATCGCGGATTAGATTTAATGGGCCGTTAGAAGTTCTAAAAAGTGTAGGATTAATTAAACATCTTGAAAAGTGTTATAGTTCCTTTGAGGTTTAAAGCTCCACTATTATAGTCTTTAAAAAGAATGTCTTTACAAAAAAAGTCCACATTTTTTGTCTGATGGAAAGCATCACAAACTGGGGATTTATGGCACTTGCCAGCTGAGTTTAGCTTAAACGTAACTGGTGGTACCGACTATTGTGACAATGGCGGCCACGGATTGTAAGCTACGCTTAAGGTAAGCTCAGCCTAAATTTGTCGGTACAGAAAACACACTTTGTATAATCACGCCGGTTCCGTATAGAAGTTTTGAACGCTTCTTGACTCGAAAAAGGAAGCCCCAAGCACTGAAGTTGCAGAACTAAAAGTGATATCTTTTATCATGCATCAGTTGAACTTGTTTGTTACCTGCCATACAAGAAAGCCTTAATTACAAAGTTATAATTTAAAACAATTTGAATTGTTTTATTATCTTATTAGCATGGCTTATCGCCGAAATGTGATAATTACAGGAGATAAAATAAAAATCACAGGTAAACAAAAACACTCACCTTAAAGCTGATTCGTCGGTGACTCCTGAAACAAATTACAAATATTAGAAATAACATAGGCCACTAAGCAATAAATTTCATTTTTTATTGGATCAGAGTAATTATGAAGATCATTGAATTTTTTTTTAACTGCTTCTATTACTTAATAATAGGGCTCAATCCAAATTTCCCACATTAGAAAAAGGTACAACAGTTGTAGTATCTGACAGGAATTTAAATATTGTTATAGCGGCGGTTAGCAAAGTACTATACAGTAAGTTATCTTGTGGGATAATATTGTAAAATCTAAAGGATATTTTTAAGGGTTGGCATGCGAAGGGAAATTCCCCCAGAAAAGTGTGCCAAATTAAGTATTTCTTGAACATAAAAATGCATTGTTTGCTTCTACACGTGACCTCCGAAATTGTTGAGTACGATGGACCAATATGAAAGCAAGGGGAGTTTTTTAATCGAATTTTTACATACAGGGTGAGTTTTTTCCGATGTTTAATATGGGGATCTCGTAAACCGTAAGAGATACGAGGTTGTTTAAATGGGCAAAAATTGCAGAATTTTATGCAGAAATTAAAAGTTTATCCCTTTCAGAGTTTCTTGTAGCTCTACAAACAACGAAGTTATGGTCAAAAAACCAAAAAATGACATTTTCAGAAATGAGCTAGTAGTTTTAACAAACCCTTTTGTCAGCTTTCTAATGGTGCTAAAATAAAATGTTTATCACTCGTGAGTTTCGAGTAAATCACATCCACTTTCTTATAGGTGCCATATTGGATTTTGATGTCATTCGATACCTGCCATAAAAGAAAACGTTAATTACAAATAAGTAATTTAGAGCAATTTTATTTGTTTTATTACCTTATTAGCACGGATTATCACCGACATGTGATAATTTCAGGAGACAAAATAAAAATTGCAGGTAAACAAAAACACTCACCCTAAAGCTGGTATTCGTCGGCGACTCCTGAAACAAATTACAAATAAGAAATATCAGAGGAGCTGAAATTCTAACCACTAAACAATAAATTTCATTTTTTATTTGATCAGAGCAATTAAGAAGGCCATTGAATTTTTTTTAAAACTGCTGCTTATATTACTTGATAATAATCTTGGGGATAATATTCTAAAGGATATTTTTAAGGGTTGGTTTGCCAGGGTAGAAAATTCCCCAGTAAAGTGTGCCAAACTAAGCATTTTCTTGAACATAAAAATGCCTTGTTTTGCTTCTACACGTAATCTCCGAAATGTTGAGTACGATGGGCAAGATATGAAAGTAACAGGGAGGGGAATTTTTACATACCAGGGTGGGTTTTTCCGATGTTTAATATGGCACTCGTAAACCCTGTAAGAGATAACGAGTTTGCTTAAATGGGCAAAAGAATTGCAGAATTTATGTAGAAATTAAGGTTTTCCAATTCTGAGTTTCGTGTAAGCTCTAGTACAGACAACGAAGTTATCGCAAAAAACACAAAAAAAAATGTCATTTTCAAAAAAAAGAGCTGATTATGATTAATACATGCAAAATTCGAGCAAAAGTGCAAGGTGCGTTTGGTAATTTTTGGTCCTATCGAATGACCATAAAAATCCAATATGGCGTGCATTAGAAAGTTTGGTGTGAATTTGTCTCCGATAAGTGATAAAAATTTTGTTTTAGAACTATCAGAATCTGAAAAAAAATCACTAGTGTTTATTAATAGTTATTTATATAACAAGAGCGCGAAGTTCAATTTCGCGCATTGAGACTGAAGGTATTTTGACGAGGCGAAGCCGAGTTAAAATATCAGTCAAATGCGCGAAATAACTTCGCGCTAGCGTTATATACAATATTTTTTCTACAACTGAACCGATTGTTAATTAAATTGCTGTTTAAGTTCAACTTTTTCCCGTGCGCGAAATACTTTTTTTCACTGTTGACGATTTCGCGCACGTTGTCAAGAGCAACCTTACTTATTAATTAACCGTTTAAAAATCTAGTACTTCGCGTTTCGAAATCCGTCAGAAAATGACAGGTTTTTATGACAGTTGTAGAAAATAGTTATTTATATAACAAGAGCGCGAAGTTCAATTTCGCGCATTGAGACTGAAGGTATTTTGACGAGGCGAAGCCGAGTTAAAATATCAGTCAAATGCGCGAAATAACTTCGCGCTAGCGTTATATACAATATTTTTTCTACAACTGAACCGATTGTTAATTAAATTTGCTGTTTAAGTTCAACTTTGTCACGTGCGCGAAATACTTTTTTTCACTGTTGACGATTTCGCGCACGTTGTCAATAGCAACCTTACTTATTAATTAACCGTTTAAAAATCTAGTACTTCGCGTTTCGAAATCCGTCAGAAAATGACAGGTTTTTATGACAGTTGTAGAAAAAAGTATTTTTTGATATCTTTGAAAATAAATAAACGCCAGCCCATTTTCGATAATGACTTTTTATTTTTTTTAACATAACTTCGTTATTTGTACAGTTAGACGAAACTCTGAAAGGGAAACTTAATCCTCGACTTGATCTACATACAATTCTGGTATTGTAGTGTATCTCTTACGGTTTACGAGATCCCCGTACTAAACATATAAGAAAAAAACACCCTGTATATGCGTGTGCATTCCAGAAATCATTACGCTGGAAGGTAAAGCATCCGGCGACGAAAGGTAACCGGAAGCAACAGAACTAAAATGTTCTTATTATTGAACTGAATTTGGCGCAAAAGTTCCGTATTTCTGGATATAAAGGTGTACAGTAGCGGCATAAATTTCTAATGACCGGTTTTTAAGCAACAGGCTTATCAAAGTGACAAAAATGGACGAACTTACAAATACATAACCCTTAACGGTGACTGGGAGACATTTATTGTGACAAACTTAATCACCAAAGTACCCCTTATATCATTAACAAGTATAAATTGTGCACAACTCTTATGCAGATAAAGCGCATTTTTCTTAACCGAAAATGTTTTGACATCACCAATGGATATATTTCTTGCAGACGTCTCAATCGCCCTTTGTGAGTACCCTCTCCCGATCACGATAAGAGGTCGAGGAGGAGCGCTATGGTTGGTAGAAATTAATTCCTTTCGTTGAGACCTTTCATTAGAGTACCCCCCTTCCCCCTCCGCCCCGTACCTTGATAAGAGGACAGAAAGAAGGGCAGTAGGTAGTTGGTAGAAAGCGGTTCCTTTCGTTAAGACCTTTAATTAGAATACAATCACTGATCTCGAAAAAGAGTCGCACGGGAAAGTTATAGTTTATTTCGATGAACCCTTTCATTAGAATACCATGAAGGGTAGAACATGTGTTTACCCCCCCCCCCCCCAATTTTCTAAAGCTTAACTTGGCACCACTAAAGGCATGCGTATGCAAAATCTGAGACCAATTCGTTGTATGTAAAAGTTATGCACGTTTTACTTTCAAAAACAGCATCTCAGGAAAGAATTCGTGGGGGGGGGGGGAACACATGTTCTACAACACAAAACACAACAATCACAACAAAATTTGATGACCGTCTGGCATACCTTCAAGGTATAGGCTACCTACTGCAAAAAATTCCAGGACTCTAGGACCATTCCCCTAGAAGTAGTTCTAAACGCAGAAGTGGGTCCGGACGGACGGACAAAACGCAATCAATTGCACTTTTTTTAATTCTTAAAAAATGGCCTAAAAATTGCATGTATCGATTCTTACAATTTAAAAGGTTAAAGATTAGATAAATAATACGGGCGTCGGTGTACCTACAGGAACGGTAAATGTAATTTTTGTTCTTTTCTTAAGAATACTTTATGTACATCTCTATGGTATAACTGTACTTAAGTAATTAATAATAATTAACGAGATTTAATAATTTCAAGTGGTAGCATTGAACAAGGAAACTTTATTCTGTGGCGGTAGTAAGGGGTTTCGGTTGCTTATTTATTCGTAATTCAAAGATTATGGTATAAAAGACTGCATGTGAATCAGCATATATTTATTTACCAGATTAGGTTTAAATGAGTATAGGTCCCTCTTGAACATTAAGAGTAAGTAAAGTAAAACAAATCATTGGTCGACGAAAGTTGAAAGGCGTCGAAAGTATGTGCATGCCAATGATATCTGTCATCTTATTAAATTTAAATTGGGGCGCGGAGCACGAAATAAAATGAAGTTCAGAAGAGAATACAATATTGTTTCCATGGAAACGACGAAAGAATTTCTATTGCTTCTGCCATAAAATCAAGTTTTGTATAATACACGAGGATAAAGGGAAACTAACCACTCGTGAATTAATATCTTGCACTAGATGCATGGTTAAAATATCCCTTTATCGTGTTGTACCTATAATAACTATCTATTAATTGATTACGTAAAAAATTGTAATAAATAAAATGGTCAGTATTTAAAAAAGTGAGAGTCGTAAATAGCGCTAAAATCTTCAATTCCTTAAATGCAGGAACTAAATTTTAATTTCGAAACTTTGTCAAAAACGGTGGGTGGAGACCAACCAAATGGGAACAACGACGATTTAGCTAGCTCATGGATCTGGCGAGTTGCAAGTTCCAGACCAGAAGGACATCAACTGAGGTAGAAAAGTTCACACTCCTATGGAAGTTTTGATTATTTGTATTAAGCAAGTCGCCTTGGAGGAAGAGAACCGCATAAGTCAGTATACAAAGCTATGGTAAAATATGGAAACTAAAGTCACCCCCAAGGAGATATGTTACACATCATTTTCCTTGGGGTAGATATTTCCTTCCTATTACAATTTGGCCCAAAGTCGAGTGTGGTGCTCTAAAATAATGCGCTCAGTAGTGAATTTTTATTTCTATCAAGGAAATGGGGCATACACAAATAAAGAATTACCTATACTGAAAGTTTTGGCAAAGTGAAGTGCTTAGCAAATCCAAGATGTCTATTTTCCTACTCTACACGGTAATGCGCCCGTTTCTGTTTGCATTTTAAGGCAGGTAGGTACAGTAAAGATATTTTAGAAATGAACACGATCCGAATTTTGCATTTTGGTTCATGATACAATAAAAGATCATACTCCTTCTTCACAATTACCCAAATACACTTTCAAAGGCGCAGTATGCGTCAATACCCTCGCTGCACATATCAGCACGTAACGACAAAGGCATTTTCCAAAAGTCTATATATCCACATTAACGAGAAATCATTAAATTTTACATCTTTTGAACAAAAAAGAAATTAATAGAATGTAGATTGTGGTTCATACAGGAGCTGTGTAGCAAACTGGAACCAAATTTTGAAAAATGCTCTCAAATAAGCAAAATTAGAACAGCAATAAAGACAGAAATTACGAGTATTAATTAAGGTCTAATAAACAATTTCAAGACCACGAGTAATCAATTTCGGGCTTACCTGATCAAATTTGATTATTCGTTCGGTAAATAAATTCAACAAGCTAAACGATGCACAACATTTCACGTACAATTACAAACTGACAGAGCATAATGTTATGACCTCCACTGATAACGCGACTGAATGCCGAATTTGTTACCTGACTAGTTTATCGCATTTATCACGCCACCAAATTGAAAAATAAATCGTTTTACTATGTACACGTAAACAAGATAAGAGTGTCAAGTAAAATTCTTCGCAACAATTTTGTAATCATCACTTTTACAATTTCCCATTGAATTAATCTGCTGTTCATGGTGATCTTTTTCCATAATTACATTATCCCACTTGCCAGAAATACTATCATTTTTAATGTTTGTAATTAAAATAGTGTCGTTATCTGCCAGTCGAATACTGCAATTTATGAATCATAATTGGCACTATTCACTTACCCCAAAAA